TCAGGAGATTGTCTTGACCAGGACCACACCCCTAAATGCATTGAAGCAACTGCCATGTGATTGGTTGTTTAGATAATTGCATTAATGAGAAATTGAACAGGTGTTCCTAATAATCCTTTAGGTGAGTGTATATATGTGTATATATATGGAAAATTTATATATACTGTGTGTATATACACACACACACAGTATATGGACAAAATTATGAGGACACCTGGTCATTACACCTACAGGTACTTTTATGACATCCCATTCTAAATCCATAGGCATCAATATGGAGTTGGTCCCCTCTTTGCAGCTATAACAGCTGCCACTCTTCTGGGAAGGCTTTCCACAAGATAATGGAGTGTGTCTGTGGGAATTTTTCCACATTCATTCAGAACAGTATTTGTGAGATCAGGCACTGATGTTGGACATGAATGCCTGACTCGCAGTATCCATTGTAGTTCATCCCAAAAGTGTTTGATGGGGTTGAGGTCAGGGTTCTGTGTTGGCCAGTCAAGTTCTTCCACACCAAACTAACCAAACCATGTTTTGCTTTGTGTACTGGGGCACAGTCTTGTTGGCACAGAAAAGGGCCTTCCCCAAACTGTTCCCACAAAGTTGGAAGCATAGAATTGTCTAAAATGTCTTGGTATGCTGAAGAATTAAGAGTTCCCTTCACTGGGATTCCTACCTCAATCCCTGAAAAACAGCACCACACCATTATCCCTCCTTTGCCAAACTTTACAGCTGGCACAATGCTGTCAGGCACATAACATTCTCCAAACAATAATCACCCACATCAGTCAGAAATAACTGAAGCATGTGTCACCTAGTCTGTTCAAACCTCAAACTTAACAGGAAACTTTTACAGAAAGTAGCTGTGTGAGCGTGTGCCTGGGCAAGTATGGCCAGCAGGGGCACTGTGTGCCTGTTCAGGTGGCATATGGGTTCCCATGACAACCCCAGTCCACCAGTAGAGCATGTCATGATGCCAAGTGACAGGGGGAAGGCGGGGCTTCCTTTTACACTCCCGATCTGTAAAGTCAGAGCCACCTTTTGATAGGTTGGAGGGAGGTAACACCCAACCCGCTCGGCAAACTTTACCATCAGCCCCCCCCCCGCCCCAGCAAATTTAATCTGCCCCTGGCAAATGGCCATGAGGGACCGGCACCAAGTATTGGTATCGGGATAGAAACATTTGATTTGTATCAGATTTGTATCGGGGACATACGTTTGTTTTAAGCTGAAAGCCTGTAGGTAAACCCACTCTGAGCAGGCTAGGTGTGCAGTGTAAATGACCATGGTAATATACTCTATACAGAACTGAGCTATGATCCACAGTATGGAAAATTCGTAAGTAAAGCCAGTAAACCCACTCTGAGAAGCCTAGGTGTGCAGTGTAAATGACTGTGGTAATATACTCTATGCAGAACACACAGACACAGACACAGACAGACACACACACACAGACCGTTGGTTTTCCGTTGTAAATGGGGACTGTCCATTCATTTTTATGGGAAAACCCTAATCTCAATCACGACACCCTTAACCACTACCCATCCCTAACTGTAACCATAAATAACCAACCCAAATATAAGACTTTTGGCATTTTTACTTTTTTGATTGCATTCACAGATTTTTATAAATAAGATAAGATAAGATAGATCTTTATTGTCACTATTACAGAAATAGTGAAAAACACAGCTCTCTGTTTGGCAGCGTAAAAGTAATAAATAAGAGAAATAAAACACAAAAAGAGACTGCTATCCTATTATAGAATGAGTATCTTAGGGAAATAAGTGTAAAAACACAAAAAAATAAAATACTACACTTTGGGGACAATTTGGTCCTCAAATGTGATCTATGCAAACACACACACACACACACACGTACACACATATACACACACAGACATACACAAACTCTCCATACAAACTCCATCTTTCCCCACATTCATGCCCCTCAGCAGCTTGAATGTATCTAAGCTTCTTGCCCACAGCCCCACCCCCTGTGCCCTGGCCCCTCTCCCCTCCCACCTCCTACACACCATGTCTTCTACAGTAACCCCTGCACTCACTCACTTTGTCAATGCATGACTCACAACCAGCATATTTCCAGCCACATTTAAGCAGGCTTGTATAGCACCACTGCTTAAAAATCCACAATTGTACCTCATCAAAGACTGGAAATTATTGTCCAGTCTCTCCTCTCTTTCTTGTCTAAAACTCTTGAACATGCCATCCTCAGTCAAGTCTCTGAATTTCCCAAACAGAACAGCCTCCTGGATCCACTCCAGTCTGACATCAGAACTGGACACTGAAGCTGCCATCCTGGATGTTGTTGATGCTCTGAGAGCCATGAGAGCTGCTGCTCGGTCATCTTTCCTGGTCCTGCTAGACCTCTGCAGCCTTCAACACAGTACATCACCAAATCCTCCTAGCATGTGTCCATGTGCCTGTGAGTATATTTGCTTTGAAGGCACAAAGGTCATACCTGCTTAGGTAAAAGGAGAAGAAACAGGTAAATCCTGTAAGGTAAGATTCTTAAAGTGAGCTTAAATTGCAACACAGCTCTCGAAAATGTTCAGAAACATTCACAGTTCTGTAGCATGAAAATGCAACTTTTAATAAGTCTTAAGATTATGTGAGATTGTGAGGAGGTGTGGGGTCTCAGGGCATAACTTTGTTTCCATCACCCCCCCCCCCCTTATATGTGAAGTTTCCATGTTCTCCCTACTTGGGTTTTCTCTCCTTACCTTGGACACTAAAACATGCGATCAGCCAACTGGGATCTCTAAGCTGCCCTTAGTGTGAGACTGTATATGCTATAAACTATTATCCTACCCATTGTGCCCCTGCCCTGTGCCCCCTGCCCTGTGTCACCTGGGACAGGCTCCAGGCTCCCCACCCCCCTGTACAGTATAAGCAGTAATGGAGGACGGCTCCACACTGTTCCAAAGAAAGGCGCTCCAGCTACCTTCAGGACTTCAGACCAGCTGCTCTCACTTCACTCCTCCAGGGTTTATGTGTGTGGCTCCCACTCCTGGCATAGATTTCTGCATAGAAGCTTTCTCTGCCAAAACCTGACATAGTCTGTCTCTAACTTCACATACCTGTGTGTTAACCCTGATGCCACTTGATAGCTTCAAATCCCATCAGCATTTCACTGTAAATCCACTTCATCTGGAGAAAAAAGCAACAAAATTCAAAATGGACACAGAGGTTCATTTGCAGTATAACTGCTCATTTCTACCTGTGGGGGGAAACCTAGAGGAAACCCCAAGGATGATATGGGAGAAACATGCAACCTCCACAGCCATGGAGCCGTAGTAAAAACTCGAACCCTGGTCCCAGAGGTGTGGGGCAACAGTGCTGACAACTGCGGCAACATGCCTCCTGCTAATTTATTTATGGTATCAGATTGTAGGAATAGAGCTGGTTTGGGCAAAAAACAATGCAAGTAACTGTTACCCTCATTAAGGCTAAATAAATGTTTGCTGTGTGTATAGTTGTACGATGAACTATTTTATTCAAAAACTCCAGCTCCACTGTTTGCCCAGTCTGCTCTTCTCAGTCTGGCCTCAGTCCAAAACCACACCTACTGCAGCCTGAGAAGCAGAAAGTTCCTCCCACTGTCACACACAGATGACTGAGAAAACGAAACGGAATCCTATCAGTATGCTTGTGGTAAAATGGCAGAAGCCAGAGTTGCAGTGGATTCAGCTGAGTTCAGCTGTGCAATCTGTCTGGATCTACTAAAGGATCCAGTGACTATCAACTGTGGACACAGTTACTGTATGAGCTGCATTAAGAGCTGCTGGGATCAGGAAGATCATGCTGGAGTTTACAGCTGCCCCCAGTGCAGACAGACCTTCACACCCAGACCTGTTCTGGGCAGAAATACCATACTGGCTGAAATGGTGAAGAAACTGAAGAAGACTAGACTACAAGCAGCTACTGCTGCTGACCATTATGCTGGACCTGGAGATGTGGAGTGTGACGCCTGTACTGGAAGAAAACACAAAGCTGTCAAGTCCTGCCTGGTGTGTCTGGCCTCTTACTGTGAAACTCACCTCCAGCCTCACTATGAGTCTCCAGCTTTTAAGAAGCACAAGCTGACTGATGCCACTGGACGTCTGCAGGACAAGGTCTGTTCCCACCATGACAAACCCCTGGATGTCTACTGCTGTACCGACCAGCAGTGTATCTGCTATCTCTGTACGATGGATGAACACAGAGGCCATGATACAATCTCAGCTGCTGCAGGATGGGCAGAGAAACAGGTCAGGCCAGAAGTGTTCTTATATAAATATAAAGTTAATTTCAAATAAATGGATTTTGTCTTAACACATGTTAGTGTAATTGCTACGAAACACTCAGAACAGGTCTGGTTCGGTAAAGTTGTCATGAGCTGCTCGTTAGGCTTGCCACGATAGACGGTGTTGACGGTGTTACCGGTTTTAAGACGCAACACCGCTGACATCACTTTTCCAACGTGATACCGTCCCCACATTTATTTATTTTTTTTAAAGACTGCTGACTTCTCATTTTTGTAGCCTAAAATCATTTTGGAAGTTTTTCTTTTATATTCGTTTCTTGTTCATTCGTTTAATCTTATTTAAACTTTATTTATTTATCTTTCTATTTTATTTTCTTATTCGTTTTAAAAACGTTCTAACCAGGGGCGTTTCTAGGATTTTCATTTAAGGGGGGCTCAGCCCCCATAGATGTTTAACACATATTTGGCTTGTTCAGAATCAGTACTCAAATGAGTCTTCCTAATTCCTCATAAATAAGACAGTATGTTCTACATTCAACCCCTTAAAACTTTATATCTACTAGGCTATTTATTCTAATTCATTAATATAGACAAACATTGTTTTAATGTAATTAAAAAAACCATTTTTTATATCATTGTTTTTTTGTTTCTATTCATTAAAAAAAGTAACTTTTTCTAAATCAAAGTGACAAAAAACCCTACTCTAAGGCTAATGTTTTTCATGATCTGGGACATTATTTAATACAATACAATATTTATTACAAAAAAAAAACTGGATTTTTCTATCTCTGCAAATCACACTGCTATGCAGTTAAAACGAGTGCATTGAATGCTGTCTGTCACTGTTTTTAATCATTTATGTGCATAACTCTATGGCAGTTAATGCCATGCACTGTGTAATGTTTTATATAGACAGTTAGGTTTTCCAATTAAAACAGCAACAGCATCATTGTTTTATAAAGTAGACTATAGGTTAATAGGGTATGTATTAAGGGCTTCATTTTCGCTAGAGGAAACAGCTGGTGTGATGATGTAACACAGCGAAAATTTTGACATTTTTGTAAACTGTATTTATGAAAAAGGACTGCACTGATGCAGATATAACAATTTATCGAAAAACACACACCTTGGATTAATCCTCGCTCTGTGATGCTGCAGTCTGTGATGCTTCAGTTCTGAAGACCGTGCTGAAAGACGGGGCGGAGCCGAAGTCTGCCGCCGTTTTCATATGAAATTTAAAGGGGACATGGGCGATCACCAATTTGTGTGACGTTTATGGAGAATTTTTATGGGGGCTGAGTACAAATGTTAGGGGGGCTAAAGCCCCCCTAAAAATGGCCTAGCGACGCCCATGGTTCTAACATAGGCTACGTAATAAACGTTCTATGGTTGTTATTTGTTTGGTTCCAACTTCCACAGTTTTTTCAGCCTGTAGCATTGTTGTGTTTTTTGTTATGTTATGTTAATAAAAGTTCTGTTTAATATCAGTGATTTTTTTATTGTAGTTTCGTTGTCGTCCATTCAAACAATTGACGCCGAATTGCCAATTCCCGCAAAATTAAAAGTGAAAGTATAATACGCACGCATTTATAAGCTATTTAAAAGCACCCCACGGTGATACCGGTATTACCGGTGTTGTCACATGTCCATTAACCGGTGGGGAAATTTCCTCATCGTCACAACCCTACTGCTCGTTCGATCCTCCTGTGTGCCACGCCCCCTTGTTACCTCGTGTGGAATCCCGCTGTTCTCAGCTGTGTCTAGTTGTTCTTAATCTGTTCTGTTTATTTACTGCTTCCGAGTCTGTCTTACCCCTGTCTGTTCATTGATGTTCATGATAGCCTTTCGGTTCTGAGTTTTGGTGATTTCCCCGAATAAAACCCTGTTAACCCGACTTCACGGCTTTCTGTGCTGCTTGCCCGGACGCAATCCGTAATAAAAGTGAAATAAAAATTAACTGAAAATGCAAGTTTAAAAAGTTCTGATTGAATTCCTACTGAAACTCCTTCAAACATCGAATCATGTGGCTGCAGCTGAATACATACAGCAAATAAACAGGGTCTAGAGGTTCACTTACGGTGTGGTTGAGCATTTGAATCGCTAAGATGTGTGAGCTAAGAGGTTGTAAATACGGTGTGATTGTTGGTACTAATGCTGCATTCCATCTGATCTTAGAAATTCTGAGTTCCTAGTCAGAAATTTCAACTGGAATGCTACCTGGGGCCCGTGCTACGAAGCGGGGTCATATTTGTTCATTTACATTTTGCCCAGACTACCTTAAATCCAACAAGTTACCCCGACAAGCCAGTAACCCCACTTCGTAGTACAGGCCACTGAAGTCAGAGGAATCTACACAACCCTGACCTCAGAATTCAAGATGGCCATGCCCTTTATCAACAGAAGTTAAAGCTGTCATTTTATACTGTTTATTAGCACTTATATCTTATTTTTGGCTCATTAAATCAGTCATACGCACAGTACTGTATAGCTGCTACATCTGGACGTGTTGCTATGGTGTTTTTGTGTGCAAAATACCATGTAATGTGTTGTTACCAACTGATATTGCTAACAAAGGCTAACAATTAACCAGGTTAGAAATGAGGCCCTTTTCAGCAAAGCAGGATTTCTTGCTTAGCCAGACAGCTTGTCGGTTTAAGGTAGTCCGGGCTTAATATAAGAGAATGAAGAAAAAGGCCATTTAAATTGGGACACAATAAACTTCAGTGTGTAGCATTTACTGAGAATGGTACAGTAAACATGAAACAGCCAGAGTGTGATAGCTCTGGGGCAGCCTGTGGCTGAGTGGGCTAAGCCTCTCTGCCTATGATCAGAAGATTGCTAGTTCAAGTCTGGCCTTAGAACATTTGGGGGTCCCTGAGCAAGGCCCTTAACCCCCAGCTCCCTGGGTGCTGCTATGGGTGGCTCCCCTTTGCTGCCAGCTTGCTCTCACCTACAGAGTGCAAGTTGGGGGATGTTAATAGAATTTCCCCACAGGGATCAGTGAAAGTATCAATTATTGTTATTATAATCAAAACACCTTGAGTCAAAGGCTCTGGTATTAACATGCGTCTCCACATCCATCTCGACTATCTGTTTGTAATTGGATCTCACTTTCCACAGTAGTTTAAATAAGTATGTAAATAACTTCCGTCTGCAGAATCTGCTGAACATTAAAAGAAGGACAAGAAGAAATCAGAAGCTATTAGCACATTTTAGGGTAACAAAACTGCCTAAGATGTTTGTACGGAACGCCATGATACTGAAAATAAGTATATCAAAAAATAAATAAAATAATAAATATTTCAATAATGTGTCCTTTTATTTTTAAATAATTTCATAAAAGGTATTATATTTGATAATAACACTTGTCTTCTATGTATAATTTTAAAATTGTATTTCATAATAATGTTGCGATTTTCATTAGACAGTCATTATTATAAAATATTATTTCATGTAATGCAAATGTGATTACATAAATAATTATATTTCTTATAAAACTATATTTCACAATAAAGTTCAACTTTTCACATTATCAACATTCATTTCTATGCTGTATCAAGAGTTTTTTTGCAGAACTGGCACTCCAGCCACCGGAAAAAACTCACCCTGTTCCATTGGGACTACTGTGGTGCTGAGGTATCACCCACTGCACGGCTGCACTCAGGTTCTCATCCCTGAGGTGGTTTGTCACGTGGTGGGTGCTGTAAGGCACTGTACTCAGTGTGTGCTCCTTACCTCTGTACCTTACCATACCTACATCAACACAGTACAAATGAACATGTTAAAAAAGGTCTTTCGGTACTAAGATATACCTAGATTAATACTTTTCTATTTAAGGTTAAAGGGTTCAGCCTTTAATGCATTGTGTTGTTTGCCATGGGATAATATTTTGGCTTTTAATGACAACCAGTGAAGCTCAAAATTTATGAAAATATTAACAAAGAGTGTCTTCCCCACTCCTCCATCAAGGCTGCCTTGACTGCAGCCATGTTTTCTGCAGAATGAGACTCTGGGAATTTTCCTGCTCCCAATAATACGGTAGACAGCTCAGTCTTATCCTTTATAAAATGGTATTTGACTGATAAATACACTTCCGTATGTATGTATGTCCACATGTCAGATGTTAAACTTACTGCTTTGGCCTTTTTCACCTCTTCCTTTGCCTTCTCTTTTTCTATCTTAAATTTTTCTGTCACCAGACCCTTTCATGTTTGCCTGGATGGGAGAATGTAGGTTGGATCAAGGATTCCCACAGACTCGCTAAATCCAGCATCATCCACTATGGTGAAGGGTTGTGAATCCTTCACAATCATATTGACACACAATCTTTTGTTTCTTGGTCTCTATAATGGAAAAATTATACATATTATTGGGTAATACCCTCACCCAAACCTGATATTATGTATTCATACAATTAAACTGAACCTTGGACACAATAATGACTAATTATTATTAGTATTATTATTATTATTAATAATAATAATAAATTGATTATTATTATTACATTGATTATTGAAAATGAATTATTATTAAATTATTATTATGATTAAAAGTGATTAAAAGCACAATGTGTGTGCGCCGAAATATGTACTTTACAACATGTTTGAAACTGGTAATGAGGATTGAGCCACATTTTCAATTTCCAAAGCAGTCACATGGTTGAGTGCAGAACGAAGCTTCGGATGACCATGGTCACGTGTTCAGGGTGGAACGGAGGAAACCTCGAAGCTGTGCTTCAAAATGTAGTGAATCGGTTTTTTTGCAGCATACCTCGGAGCTTCGGTGTCAAGCTTAACATCACTGGTTGCCCCATTCCCTTTGTTAGTCTATTTTCTTAGCTACTTTTTCCTTGTTGAGTTTTGACCCCTTGTTGTTCTTTTATTTTGTGTCTTTCCAGTTTTGTTCAGTTTCCTTAAATCCCTTTGTCTTGGAGCTTTTAAGTGGATCATCACCTTGTTTCCCTGCCTGCACCAGGCTGTGCCCCAACATGCACATTAAATATAAGATCTGTGCAAATTCTGAAACATCTTTAATAAATCCCATTTTACACATTTTCTTTTCTGAATTTGCATGGAACATCAATGATGCACACTTTGACACAGTTTCCATACGAATGGGTCACAACAGTCGAACGTTAAACCCACATCCCGGCAGATTAAAAGTTTTTAGTATTGCAGGAGAAAAGATGCATTGTTGTTGTTCACAATACAGTTTACTACACAGTGGCCCATTCTCAACTGACATGCGATCTGACATAAATCAAATAGGACGTCAGTTGAGTAGCCGGTCCTGCAATGCATCTCAGGACACATTCACCTTCACACTGCTATAAGAATGTGGCCATATGCAGCCCAGACCACATTTACAGCATTTGGCAGACGCCCTTAGCCAGAGCGACTTACATAAGTGCTTTAAGACTNCATTTTCAATTTCCAAAGCAGTCACATGGTTGAGTGCAGAACGAAGCTTCGGATGACCATGGTCACGTGTTCAGGGTGGAACGGAGGAAACCTCGAAGCTGTGCTTCAAAATGTAGTGAATCGGTTTTTTTGCAGCATACCTCGGAGCTTCGGTGTCAAGCTTAACATCACTGGTTGCCCCATTCCCTTTGTTAGTCTATTTTCTTAGCTACTTTTTCCTTGTTGAGTTTTGACCCCTTGTTGTTCTTTTATTTTGTGTCTTTCCAGTTTTGTTCAGTTTCCTTAAATCCCTTTGTCTTGGAGCTTTTAAGTGGATCATCACCTTGTTTCCCTGCCTGCACCAGGCTGTGCCCCAACATGCACATTAAATATAAGATCTGTGCAAATTCTGAAACATCTTTAATAAATCCCATTTTACACATTTTCTTTTCTGAATTTGCATGGAACATCAATGATGCACACTTTGACACAGTTTCCATACGAATGGGTCACAACAGTCGAACGTTAAACCCACATCCCGGCAGATTAAAAGTTTTTAGTATTGCAGGAGAAAAGATGCATTGTTGTTGTTCACAATACAGTTTACTACACAGTGGCCCATTCTCAACTGACATGCGATCTGACATAAATCAAATAGGACGTCAGTTGAGTAGCCGGTCCTGCAATGCATCTCAGGACACATTCACCTTCACACTGCTATAAGAATGTGGCCATATGCAGCCCAGACCACATTTACAGCATTTGGCAGACGCCCTTAGCCAGAGCGACTTACATAAGTGCTTTAAGACTTTACAATGAATTTTTCCCGATACTAGCTCAATAAAACCAAGGCTATGAATACCATCGATCTAATACTCTGTTGGGAAAGTGCGTTTTTTTTTTTTTTTTTTTTTTTATTTTTTATCAAAGGTATAATGCCAGAAGTGTTAATTCAGGTCCACCTCCAAAATGTGGCCTGAGTGATCAGATCTCAATGCGCCTTCAATGCATCCTGGGTAATTAGGACTGTCCACTTGTGATTGGATCACCCAGGACGCATGTTAATACTAGGTGGAAACAGGACCTAAGGGTCTATGTCCATTGTATCCTACCTACAGTCAATAAATCATTTATGAATATCCATCCATCCATCCATCCATCTCCTAACCGGTAATCCTGGTCAGGCTCAGGGGGAGTGCCTGGAGCCTTTCCCAGGCAGCATAGGGCCCAAGGCTGGGGTCCACCCTGGACAGGATGATTAATGAATGTGATCTCAGATAATGAAACAAACTTGTTTTGTCATCTTGTTTCCTGTCTGTAAAAACAAATGGGTGAAACACAGAGGGAATTTCAGCAGAGAATTCAGATGAGAGAGAAGGAGCTGCAGGAGCTGAGAGAGGCTGTGGGCTCATTCACAGTGAGTATGAACCTGAAGAGAAGATAACAGCTGGCTTGTGATCACATTGAATCTTCCCTCAGATTCAACAGATTTCATATTTACAGACTTGTGGGGATTAATCAAATTAATGCTGCTGTGGGTAATTCTGGGTCAGAGGTTGAATGGGATAAAGTTGCTAGATAATAGAGTTTAACTAAGTGATGCAACAGTAGTGGCTTATTTATTTTTAAAAAATACCATATAAGGCCCATTTGAGAAAAATGCAACTTTTCACAACCCAGCGTAGTGCAAATAAACACCGAAAAAGTCACCTATTAAACTGAGACCTAATGGTGGACACCAGCCTGCCCCACACAGCCACCAGTCTCTGCCAAATCCCTGCAGCTGACAGTGTATGAGCTTAATGAGTGATTCAAGATTATTTAATTGTCACATGCATAGTCATACAGGTACAACATGCAGTGAAATGTATCCTGAACCACTCTTTTGACTGTGCAACTAGTTACAAAGGATATGAAAAAACTCAAAAGGGGCCAATTGTAATTTACCGTCCTCTGCTCCCTGTATCACCAACAGAGATCAGCACAGTCAGCAGTGGAGGACAGTGAGAGGATCTTCACTGAGATGATCTGCTCCATTGAGAGAAGACGCTCTGAGGTGACACAGCTGATCAGAGATCAGGAGAAGGCTGCAGTGAGTCAGGCTGAACGAGACATGGAGAGACTGAAGCAGGAGATCGATGAACTGAAGAGGAGACACTCTGAGCTGGAGCAGCTTTCACACACAGAGGATCACCTCCATTTCCTCCAGGTAACAGAACAGCTACTTTGGCAATAAGAAAACCAGAGTATTCAAATGAATACATATTGTCATCTGTTTTTCAACTAGTCTGTCATTTGTCAGATGTTAAAGGTCCTGTTAATTAGATTGCAATACACATTTGTATTGATGAAGCTGTTTAATCAGACTGTGTGTCTGTAGAGGCACCAAACTCTTCCTGTCAACCCTGAAGCTGGATTTGGACCTAGAATCTCTGTCAGTCCAAGATCTGATTTTGGGAATTTGAGCAAGGTGGTTTCTGAACTGAAAGATCAACTGGAGAATGTTTGCAGAATGAAAATGGCAGAGATCCATCACCCAGGTTAATACATTTTCTAGTCTGTTCATGTTAATATAGACCAGGGGTGGCCAATCTTATCCAGAAAGGGTTGCTGTCTGCAGGCTTTTGCTGGATTACTAATTAGAGGACTGATTGGCTGAAGAGTCCTCACACCTGGGGTTGAACAGCTGACCTAAAGGTTATCCCAAAGACCTGTGTACACACTGGCACTGTGCGGGTAAGACTGGCCACCCCTGATGTAGAGCATGCAGAGAGAGTATGCAGTACAGTCAGCCTCACATTTGTGTGACCAAGTCAGTTTGTTTTCAATAAGGTTAAATCTCTGTGATAACTGGTGAAAGAGCTTCACATTCTACTGGCTGCAAAACCCAGATCACATGAGACATGTTTCTTCTACATTATAGAAACCAAAAATCTGTATTATGTGTAACTTACCATGATTTGCAGTTTGTTAAAATGCCTGTTATTGTCCATCATAATGATAATACCCTACTGCTGTTGTCTCCACAGTGAGTGAATTCCATCTCCCTCAAGTAAATTCCTTTTACTTACATCCCTGTCTCTCTCTGTCTCCTTCTAGTTACCAAAGACACTGTCGTACCGGTATCAGTGCCCAGGACCAGAGCAGAATTCTTACACTGTGAGTCTGTTCACACACACGCTTCTCTCTCCCTGTATGAGGTAGAGTGTGTTTTATTGTGTTACGTTTTCTACTGCTAGGGGAGCGTCTCTTTCTCTCTCCCGCTGCCTCCTGTCATTTACATTTAGATGAGCTTTTTATCTCAGTAAGCTTTGATTCCAATTACAAAGTAAGGCAATTTTATTCAGGGTGCTTTTCCACTGCACCAGGTACGGTACTTTTGTGACATTGTAGATGCAGCATATGACTAAACTCCTGCTGATTTAATTTATTGAAAAGCTGCAGCAAACAGTAAGGTTTTAAGCCCCGATTATAATGAGCTGACAGTGTTAGCAGACCTCAGGTCTTCAGGAACCTTGTTCCACAGACAGGGAGCATAGAGACTAAAAGCTGCTTCAGCCTGCTTGGTCTTCATTCTGGGAACACTGAGTATACCTTTGCCAGATGACTTCAGGGGTCTGGATGCTTCACAATGTGAATTATTTTAATGTCATTTTAGTAATTTTTGAATATTTATAGTGTAATATTATAGTGAAAGTCGTCCTACAAAATAACCCTCCTCTTCTCCTCTCTCGTCTCCCTCACACCATCCATGATTCTTTTCAAAGGTAAAGCGCAGGTTAATTTTTTTTATGTATTTTTACTTTATATTTTGTATTAATAATTTTTATATGAATATTTTTGAGTTGTGGAATGGATCATATGAGTTTCCATTATTTCTAATGGGAAAATTCGCTTTGATATAAAAGTGCTTTGGATTACAAGCATGATTCCGGAATGAATTATGCTCGTAAACCAAGGTACCACTGTATACAGTTCTTTTGGCCACTCATTCTTAAAAAAATCAGATGCTACTTTAATACTATCTGTACCATAAGTAAAGACAATGTCCCGTGACAAAACGTGACCATACTGCCACCCCAATAAAACTGTTACATACATATAAATGTGTATGTATGTGTGTGCAGACTTGTCCCGAATTGAAAATCTCACGCCAGCCAGTTGATTAAAGTTGGCAACTATGTGAACTGACGCTTTGAATTTGTAAAACGTAGGGAAACATATACAGACCTCAGTGCTGTGGTACATGTGCAGGGAATATCAGAATAATCATTTACCAGGGGGCAGCCGGAGCGCTGCAGACTCGGGTGGCTGCATGAGTATATTGGGAATAAAATGTGTGTATCGGAGCGAGTTCTGTGTTAGTGAGTGTGTGAGGTGTGACAGTGATGATGATGTAGATGCTGGGCTTCACGATAGGATTAATCACTCTTCCTCTTGCCTACAGACTCCTGCCAGCTGATGCTGAACCCCAACACAACACACAGACGCCTGTCTCTGTCAGAGGGGAACAGGAAGGTGACACGGGTGGCAGAGCAGCCATATCCTGATCATCCAGAGAGATTTGACTTCCAGAGCCAAGTTCTGTGTAGAGAGAGTCTGACTGGTCGCTGTTACTGGGAGTCTGAGTGGGCTGGACGTGGAGCCTGGATAGGAGTGACTTATAAAGGGATCGGGAGGAAAGGATGGAGTACTGACTGTGGGCTTGGAAACAATGACAAGTCATGGATGCTGCGCTGCTCTCCTGACAGTTACTCTGTCTGGCACAATAATAAACAGACTCTCATACCCATAAAGCCCTCAGGCTCCCGCAGAGTAGGAGTATATCTAGACTGGGAGGCTGGTACTCT